ATGGCGCGTTGCAAGTGGTGATAGACCTGTAAAGTGGAAATGGAACAAAAATGAAAAGTGAAATATATATTTCTGAGAAGTATTTTATAACTGCTTACATTGCCATCGCTCATGCCCAATGGCGAGTTCAAAATGAAATCTGTGGGCGCAATTGCATCCACTAGAGCAATAGCTTCATTCTTCAGTACCGAGAGCAGACCAAGGATGCCCTGCTGATAGAGCTCAATCTGTGAGCTATTAAGGAAATAGCCACCTTGGTAGAACAGTGACGAATATTTGATAATCAAATTGGCGCCGTAGAAGGAAAGAACCTTTAATAACACCTGCTGCTCGGGCGAGGCTGGCAGATTGGTTACAAACTTGTAGAAGACATAGTAAGAGGTGCGCTATATAGGAGAGATATGGACGTTAAGACGATAAGCCGCAAGGTAATCTAGAAGGTGAAACTCACCTCTGCATAGATAATGGAAAGCTTTTGTGCGGCAAACACTTGAATATTGTTGCGTGTCTCAAAGGCATCCTTGCCAGCAGACTGGAGCTGCTCGAAGCGCTTGACGGCTGTGTCCAGTGACCAAGCGGTCAGCCAGTTAAGTGCCTTCAGCAAATCTGCAAATATATTAAAATATATTAAGTAAATATATAATTTCGTAATATGTAACAAAATAATTAATTACTATGCACATCCAGCGCCTGGCCAGCGTTCTGCTCCTGTCCCCGTGTCTGCAATATCACATTCATATCCTTCAAGAATGCGACCGTCTCCAATGGAGAAGCGTCCACAAAGTTGGCATTGTTCCGACGCAGACTGATCAGCCAATTGGAGGCCTGCTGAATGAGCGTATTATTCTCACCCTCGTACGTGCAATTGGCATCATTATCGTTTCTCAGATCACCCAGGCCGGATGCACGCAAATAGCCATGCCCGCCGCAAGCTTCACGACACTCCTGGATGCCGTCGCGAGCCGCCCAGGTGGCATAGGGCTTCAGGGCCGACGAGATGGCATGGATTTCCATGCCCTCCCTAGACGTGTCCTCGCCCATCATGCCCCGCATCATCATGTCCATGTTCTTCTTGCCAATCCAAAGGGAGACCACACGCAACGCAATTACCGCTGTCAGATGCGGCATGAGTCGATATTGCTGCGACTGATACTCGATCACTGGCCATTCCTCGTTGCTATCGGGGGGTCCGAATTGCCGACGACTTGCCGAGTAACGTGTAGCAATGCACACAGCCTTGCTAAGCGCCACATATGTAATGGCTGTAATATTAACACGACCCGTGGACAGAGCGCCCAGCGATGCTCCCAGGCGTTTGCGTTGATCCTTGATGGGGCTGTTATAATTGCCCTGCGCATCAATGTCTCCCGTTTTCGACAGCAGATTGGCCTTCGGTATGCGGTACTGATTGAACATAACGAAGCTGTAGGATATAATAATTCGAGCATTTACATTTAACTTAATTATTTGAATTCACATTCCACGCACCCATTGTCAATGCCATTCAGCCCAATTTTCTCGCCAAGATCACCAACTGTGACGCCCGGCAGGGGCAACAGTGTAAGCTCATCCCGAATGGGCACCAGGAATGCATTCAAACCCTGATGTTTATCGTCCGGCACATACAGCTGGGCATAGACAATGGCATGGGTGCAGGTCTTGCCCAGATTGCCAACCCAACACTTGGCTGCCTCAAAGTCAGGCGTGTGTATAATGAACTCCTGCGACTTGACATCGTAAGTGGCGCGTGTGCGCATGCCTATAGATTAAGAAAAGAAAACATATTTTAATTAAATAATCTTATTTCAGTATAATACAATCAAATACCATTTGCATTTGTGCCGTGAGCGATCTCAGTCAGCGCATAGGCGCCCAATATACGATCATCTGATATCTTGGCTATATATTTGCCCAGACGCCCGGTGCCATTCGTTAGCAGAGTACTGGGAAACATTCCATTGGAGAGCGAGAACTTCACCGAGAAGCTAAAATCGTAGCTGAATATGGCCTGGCCAAAGGCCAACATCAAATATGGCGTATTCAGGTACTAGAAAGATTTGACAATAGGATTTAAATGAAGCCATAATTAAATTCTGAATTGCTCTCACCTCATTGACATCGAAGAACTTTTGTTCCCACAGCAAATGATGACGCTTGTTGGCCAACTCCCTGGTACGCTCCAGATTGGGCGCTTCCGGTTCACGTTGGAAGTCTGGGTGTTTCTCCATCCATTGCCATATTTTGTGCTATTTTTATTATTTTCAAAGGTAATTGAAGATTAGTTAAGATTAGTCTGACCTCACGCAAGCATTTTGCACAAGTGTTCAATCGAATACCTTTTAGATAAGAATTTAGATAAGGCAATTTTGCCAATAATAAAATTTTACTAAACTGTCTTTGTATTTGTATACATATATGATAATGCATATATTTTTTATTTTTATTTATTTTGCCAAGTGAAGGTCAAAGTCTACGGTAATTCCATTGAGTCTGAACTCGTTTATATAGAAAATTTTTAAAGAACTTTACCTAAAAATTTAAACATTTGGCAAAATATATAAAAATTACATATCAAGCTATAAAGATTTTAAAGGTAACTAAAAAAATTTATTATGAATATATTTTATAAGTTATTTATAAAAATTTTGCACGATATATAAATTCAAATGAAATTTTTAAATTCATTTTCAAATTTCCCTAAACAAACAAGTAAGAAAGCTCTAGTCGAGACTGCTCGACTACGAGATCCCCTGAACCCTTGGAGTGCTAGCTATTTCAATAATTTTTCGCGTCTTTCAGCTTACACAAGAAACACACACACATACACAAACACACGCACAAGCACCCACGCATAAACACGCATGGGCTGCAGTGTGCGCTTACTATGAGAACTTAATTGTTTAATAACTTTTTTT